GCTGTTTTTATATCTGTCATTTTACTAAAACAAATCTAAAACATTTGGTCATGTTGCTGTTTTTATATCTGTCATTTTACTAAAACAAATCTAAAACATTTGGTCATGTTGCTGTTTTTATATCTGTCATTTTACTAAAACAAATCTAAAACATTTGGTGATGTTACCGTTTTTATATCTGTATTTCTCTGAACTGAGCCTTCTATTCTATACTTAAAAAGTTCACCAACTTCGCAATTTGCTTTCGTTGCACACGCACAGTAGTTTAAATCTACCGATACTCTTATTAACAGGCAGAAACTGTGAGAAATCTTCAAACCATTATATGACGTGATCTATATCTATCAGACAAAACAATACTTTGAAAGACGCTGAACTTACACAAAACAATACAATTTTCGACGTTAACTCTACATGATTTTGACTAAATGACCTGATCTGTATCTATTAGCCAAGACTTACAAACAATACTTTGAAAGATGCTGAACTTACACAAAACAATACAATTTTTCGACGTTACCTCTACATGATTTTGGCTAACTGACCCGATCGGTATCTATTAGCCAATACTTACAAGATTGTATGTAACATTATTCCTACCAAATATTTATACAGTGGCAAATATAAAGAATACCACAAACATTTATAAGCTATTTGTTTTCATACTTAGTTAAGTATTTGTGTATATTTTGATAGTAAAACGACCTTTACACTCCATATAACTATAAGAGAACCTTTATATTAACAGACTATAATTATTTGGAATGTAAAGGTTTTCTTTCTTCTAACTTTCTGTTATCAAAATGTGTAAATCCCTCCAATATGCCTTACAAAGATCGAAAGACACTTGTGTATACACTATGAAATAACTATTACTTTTAAGCTAAGAAAGTCACATGTTATGTGATCAGAGACTACAAAGTATTTCACCATACTTTATTAAATGATAATGATACATTTTTGATAAACGTCCTCCAACCTCTTCACAAAACCAAAAATTTAACACTTACAGAGCAGTATATTAAAAAATGTAACACTGTTTAGAGGGAAAAAACAAACAAAAGTTCTAGTTTTTCTATTTACTAAACCCGATGCTCAATACTTTCTGATTAATATAAAGTGATGGTGTAAAAAAAAATATACACAAGTTACAGCAAAAAAAACTCTTTAAATTTGTTTTTTAAGACTATGAAACACATTTGAATTAGGGTACATAATCCATATGTACATACAGAGTATGTTACAATGTAGCGATATTTAGCACCTCACTCGCCTATAATATTAATGTTTTCAAACTAAAATATTTTTTATATTAATTGAGACCTATAATATAGTAAAACAGAGGTGCAACTGAACTAAATACATTTTGTTTAGTAGAATATACATACAAAGAACACGAAGCAAAGACTGGTAGTGACATCTAGTGTTACTAATTGTTGGGAAAAGAAAAATTATTTGGTGGCTTGGTGCATGGCATGGGCAAGATAATCTACGTTGTTAGAAGAGATACCAGCCACTGAAATTCGTCCATCTTTTGTCAGGTAGACGCTGAACTCTGCTGTAAGTTTTTCAACCTATGAATAAAAAAAAAAATTAAAGTTCATGATCATAACTGTATATTATAAACAGTTTTGGTCATATTAAAATGATTAAAAAAAACACTGATTTACATTAAGTTGTGTTAGTAATAAACAAGTTAAAAAATACTTTTATATCTATGCTTAAAAATAATTCATTCCTGCAGTATGAAGAACTGAATAAATGAAGCCATGTTTGTCTTCTGCTGAAGGATATTGAACTAACAACAGGTTATACATGTTTCATTATATACACTTACAATGCTAACACAATCACAGGTTCATGAAAAACTTAAATCAAAGATAATCAAATACCATCTCCATCTTTCAATATACCTAATTATTGAGAACAAAAAAAGTATTTATTTGTTTGTATATTAAAGTAACTTAATATAGGCTTCGAAGTTAAAGGCCACGAGTTTTAAAATTCACTTCTATACACAAGACAGTAAGTTTTTTTATATTTGTTTTGGTTTCTTCAAAATCCCCATGGGACAAACCTTTTGCACCATCCTGTACATAAAATGCATTCTACTTGTCCAAGTACTTGTTCTTACATTCACACTCCAGCTTGTAGCACAGATCCCTAGCTATCGTACTAATTTATTGAAGTCCGATTTGCTAGGAAGTCAGCTACGGCAGCTTTGTCATATCTGGTCTTGAAAAAAAATCTTTTTACATTTATTTTTTAAAACTATAACACATAAATTATTTTCATTTGGTCTGCTTTTCTGCAAAACCTGGATACTACAGGTCAATAAAAAATAAAACAAATTTCGCGAAGATAACACTGGAGTAAAAACCAAATCTCAAGAGATGAAATTGATAATATACGTGTAGAATACATTTATGAGTATACTAAGCCTTCAGTTCCACAAATGAGAATGTCTGAGCTGTGTAGAAGGTTCAATATTATGAGTGTACACAGTTTTGTGCATGTTACTACTAGTATTTTAATATTTGCATTTCTTTTATTTTGTGTCGACTTGTTACAAGCAACCTGAAAGCAGGATACATTGTATCCAAGTAGGCATTTTTGATATTTTGAACCTTCTGTTGTAGAACACACCTCCTTAGGATTCATTCCGGTGAAACAAAACATCCCAATCTGGTCAGTGATGTGCTGCCAGTTGCGAGTCGATCCCTCCTTTTTCAGGCCATCTCTGAGACGGGTTCTCATGCTAATTATTCTATCAGCCATTCCTTTCACATCTTTCAACCTGTGTAATAATGAGATATACCGTTACATCAATGCAATTTTTGTACCTATAATGAAATACATTTTTATTTTCACTAAAAACAATTAATAAGATAGAAATTTAAGATTCATTTCAGTGGAAATTCAGCTTTATAGAACATGTTACCCTTACACGTTCACCATTTTGAAATTTTCTTGACTGTATAGGATAACTTCATCACAAAACTTTAGAATTATTAATGTATTAAAACTAGGATTAATAAACTTTATCAACATAAAAGATCTAAATACTACATTTTCCCTCCAACACAGGTTTGGAGGTCCTGAAAAATTAACTCTCAGGCATTTTAACTACTGAAGAACACTTGTTTTATGGATCCTAACATGATCCAAATACTAAGAATTTTCAAACAAAGTTAGAAGGGAAAAAAAAAAGCTAATTTAAGAATTGTCATTATTTATATAATTCATAACAATCTTATTTATAAATAAAATAAATCGTACCATTGTTCTCGTAATTCTGGCTCTCCAAGAACCGTCTGTGCAATCCGTGCTCCATGAATTGGAGGGTTGGAATAAGTGGGTCGAATGATGATCTTTAACTGAGAAAGAACTCGCTGAGCTTCGTCTTTTGAATTACACACCATGGTGAAAGCCCCAACACGTTCGCCTGAAAGCAAACTAAAGTGTTATCAAATAAACCCATGCAACAGAAACAGTGTATGACTAATGCTCTATACCAAAGAAAAACAGTTTTTATAGCTAATTTTTTTTTATCAAAAATTCAATATAAACCATCAACCAGTACAAAGTTAATTTCATATTTTTCTTGCTTCTTTTTTCTAGTTTAGTATCTCTGATCAATATTACATCTTACATCCTTGTAGTATATGAAATATTATGGCTTAATGTGTAAAAACTATTTCTCCCAAAGTCTTCTTTGTCTTATAGAAGAACTACATTTTAAAATATCAACACAAATTTAATTTAAATAATTTGACCCATATTTTGGCTCTTGTAGGAAGATTTCACTAAGCCTTATGTTGTTCACTCTTCTACTGACTAATTTTTTGTATTGCCAAAGTAACACATTAAAGACAACTTACTTCATTACATCGTTGTTAATGCTAAAGATGTATGTGAAAGTTAAAGCATTTCAATATGCACATATTACATGAAGTTGTAAAGAAACTAACAATAAAAATCATGCAACACTGGAAAACAATACGTAAAGCAACATTATTAAAATATGACTGAAATAGTTTAGCTAACCATATAATCCCATGTTCTTCGCAAAAGATTGAGCTAAGCCAATCCTGTGACCATTATCAACAAACATCCTGACTGCCATGGCATCACGATCAATGTCACCTGTTGCAAAACCTTGGTAGGCCATGTCAAAGAATGGAAACAATTTTCTAGACTGTAAGAATAAGACGATAAAGTTTAATAAACAATTTGGGTCTAAAACTAATGAAATGGAATGAGAAAGCCTACATACCAAAAATAAGAACTACACTGTAGTTCTGGAAAATATAAACAATTTGGAAGACTACTGAAGTTTTTTTTTAGTAATCTATTATAGATCAAATGATGCTAGATTTTAAGTGTATTTATTTTAAACGAGTAATTAAGTAATAACCAAATTATGGAGCACCATGAAGTTCTTCGTACAAGTGTTAATTATAAAACAAATATTAATTATAACCAATAAACTTAAAATCAGACATGCATCTCTAATTCTAAGCTTTAGAAGAAATTATATGGTTATTCATTTACACAAAAATAACTTCCATTTTTCAGTATTATGCTCTTTCAGGGGGATGATTAATATACAGAATGCCCGAAAGTTAACTTCCCTTTGCATGGTTTTTGTCTGAAACCATCCGTGTAAATATAGCTTTTAACTCTATACTATAACCTTTAATGTGATATGTGCATTTTCAAACATGAATATCAAACATTTTTTTCAGTAAAACTTTATATATTTTATATGTTATTTTCTCTACCCTAACTCTACATGGACTCAGTTTATTTGACCAACCTTGTAACCGCCACAAAGAATACGAAATAAATTATCTTCCCCCCCCATTTCTAAAATAACTGCAGATTGTAACAGATCATAATTATTTATCTTAAACAGCTCCCAACAGTTTACACCTGTTTATATTTTATTGTTTTATTGCTCTATGAACCTTGTCTAACTAATAATCCAGAGATACATATGGTAAATCACGTGGCAAACACATAGCCCAAGTTACTGTGTTGAATGACGTAATGTAAGAGCTGCCAAGAAGCTTACCTCGAGGGGAAATTGTATTTGTTTTTCTTTAATTAACCTAATCTAAGCTGTTTAGTTTCCAGTTTATAATATACATAAAAAACTGAGAACAAGATAGCATAATATGTCATTTGCTAAATTAAAACCATCTTTCTATTGGTTATAAATGATGTAATAGCAAACAGAGAATTATTGGCAAGTTGTGAGAGAAAAGATGTTAGAGGCGAGTGTGACAAGCAGGATCTGACCTTCTATTTTATTCCTCTGTAAGAAATAAGATCAAAGGCCATAAAAATTAAAATATGTCTTAGTACTATGTATACTATAATGAGTACTTTACATTAAACTCAGGATATCAGAGAAGGGTGGTTAAAACAAACAACAGAAAATAGGCAAACAAATATAAGGATACACACACACACTAGGGAATATTGATAATATATATAAATATTTCTTTTGGAAATTAAAACTTGTATAATATTCAAATTTGGTTCATTAACCTTCTCATCACAGGAATCCTTTACTGAACATCATGATGTTTTTAGTGAGTTACATTCAAAATTTAATTAAACTACTTTTGTTTATGTTATACCAATTAATATAGCATAAAATAATATTTTAAGAGAATACAAGTCTGAAACTCATAATTTTATAAGGAAATATTAAAACAAATCCTGAATTTCCCCTAGTGTGAGAAATGTGAGGTTTTTTCCTCTAGGCATCCCCTCTTCTCTAATATATTTGTCACCCCTTCAATAAGTATGAAATTTAATGTAAATTACTCACTATAATATTGTTATCGCACAGACAAAGAATAATTTTCATAGCTTTAAATCTTGGTAAGTAATGGAGTATACATCAAACCAAACAAACTGTTTATATGAGGCCCTCTTAATATATTTGATTCAGTTTTCCAATGAGAACTGATGAACCGAGAATTTGAACTAGTCTGTTGTAGTGTGAGTAGTAGCAAATCAAAAAGAGTAAACTAAGCCTCTAGTAATCTTTCTTTATTAAAAATTCTATTTTAGGTGGTTGTTTTATGTCTTGTTTCGAGCAAAGCTACACAAGGGCTATCAATGCTAGCTATCCCTCATTTAGCATTGATAGACTAGAAAAAGGCAGCTAGCCAATACCACCTATGGGCAAAGCATAATTTTTTATAGTCATTAAATAGAAAATCAGACCCCTCTTGCCACACCTACCTCTCTCTTTCAGGACTTGTCAATAGTTCTCTCTTACATTTTATACTATATTATTTGTAACCAACAGAAACCCAAGGTTTTTATTTATTAAATGACATATTATAAAACGTTGTTTTCTGTACAGAGAAATGTCAATTTCTCTTTTAGTACAAGCTTCATTCTCACTGGAAATACACTGATTAGTTTGGATGAATTTATAAAGACTTCTGTCGCATGGTTAGAAAGCAAGAAATATTGTGATAGTTATGGGATATTGTATGCTTTTTGCATATTATTATTCTATGTTCTTTAGTGCATTATCTAATTAAGTAAAAATTATTTAGTGCACTACTACCTTTTGTATAAAAAAAAGTAGTCTTATGTGTCATCGACAGTCGACAGCAAAAAAAAAGAAGGTAAAGGTATGTACTTTATTTCTTGTTTTTCATGTGCATTCTTTATTTATTTATTATTATAAAAGCAACTAAAATGTAAAAATAGGAAACCCTTTAGGTTAGTTAAAATTATATTATGATAAATAAATAATAGTAATATAATAAAATATGCGTGTAATGTAATTTGATAGTGTAATGTGAGCTGAATGTTCCCAAAGTGATTTACAACTTACAATAGTGCAAATACTAGTTAGACACAGTTCAAACAATAAAATTTAAGTATAAGTAGATGTATACAGTTTAAAGCTACTTAGGATAAACAAATAAATCTAGAAAGAAAAAAAAAGTAATTTAGACATATTTCAACCTTTTTTGGTGGTTATAGGTCGGTCAAGTTGACCAGCTTTGTATAGAGTTAGGGTAAAGAATATAACAAATAAAATATAAAGTTTTACTGAAAAAAAAGTTTGAAATGTATTTAGGAGATTTTAAAGAGATTACGCAAATGAAATTTCAGATTTTTTGAGATGAAGAAAAAAGCATTTTTAATCCTACTAAAAAAATCACTTTGCACTTGGACTAATCGATATAGTTAGGGACAAATCTTTATTAAAAATACTTCAGTAAAAAATATGATTTTTTTGAATGTAAAAAGACTTGTAACGTTTACTGAAAGTCTGCCAAGAAAAGAGAAATTAGAAGAGTTACAACATAAGTTACATTTACCAAGAGGGTTAGTGCAACTATTACTGTTGTACGAGATAGATATGCAATATGGTGTAGCACAATCGTTACTCAAAAGCAAAATCTTAAAACTGAAAGGAAAAGACAAATTATTATAATTACACCAGTAAAAAAAAAAATTTTCCATGAATCATATACAAAACAAATTAAAGTTGTCTAAATTTCTGTTGGTTTGTGTTAAGTGCTTTCCATGTTGTGCCCGTTACAGGTATTGAAACCAGGTTTTAGCATTACGAGTCTTCAGACTACTTCGGAGCCACTGGAGGGAAAGTTATCTAAAACATTCAAACCATGATTTGTTCAAAGTGTCTTTCTCTTACACAGATACATTTATCATATGGTTTACCTACACCTTACCCACTTAGATTTTATATTATCTTAAAACAATAAAAGCAGCAAAAAATACTTGCCTTAATTAGATCAGACATCTCTTTCCACTGTTCGGGCTACAAGTAAAAAATAAATGACTATTCCAAGAATAAATCAATACATTACATAGTAATAATTCCAAACATACAGTCAAACCCTTCATTTAATAACTTTGCTAAAAAAATATAAAAAACTTCCTTTCAGTAGATGAAAGACAGTAAATTTTGTAACAGTATTAATCCTCGGGAGTTTTTTTTTTCAATTATTTTCAAACTTCCCATCAAAAGGAAAAAAAGTTGGGCATTACTGTTGTTTCTCCTTTATATTATATAACAATAAACGTTTACCAAAACAATTGTAAAAAGAATAACTAGAATAAACCCTTACTTTCGGGTCCACTCCAGTAGGGTTGTGAGCACAAGCATGTAGTAGAATAACAGAGTTCTCTGGTATTTTCTGGAGAGAGAGAGAAGAAAAAAAATATATAACAATTACATGCTTCTCATGTATAAAACGTGTACTATTGAACAGAGATCCAAGGAATACAGTGAGGGAAAAAGACAAATATACCACTAAAATTATTACAATTTATCACACGCACAACAGAAATTTACATTTTTGAAATATTATTGACATTTTTTCAAAAATAAACAACTAACTTTATCTGAATTAAGTTATAATTAATTTTCTAACTGTAAACTTAGACTTCAGGAATGTTGAAACTAAAATGATTAATAATGTCAAGTACACGGAATGTAAAAGGTTCCATTTAAGATGTACTTGATAAACCATCCAACACGGAATGACTGTTCTGTGTGCGACTTTTGGTTGTACTTTACTTTAAAAAATCTGATTCATTATTTTATACTTAATGTGAAAATCACCAAACTAGTAGTACAAATGTTATGTTTTTGTAAACAGACTTATTAAATTCTAAGTAAACTTTTATTAATATTAAATAACATTTTTAAGAAGCCTCCCCTAGATGTATAATGTCTCTTCAGGCACATTTTGCTGCTTTGTTATTAAAAGTAAGAAATACAAAATCTGTCATTTCATTTGGCACAATGAAAAGTAAAATCTTTATTAGTAGTTACAGTCCACTATTTTCAATAACATCAGCCTCGATGATGGTAAGTGTGTTACTGAAACTGTGTGTGTGTGTGTGTGTGTGTGTGTGTGTGTGCTGAATATCACTTTGGATCTTGAACATTTCTACTTAAAGATGAATAATTAGGACTCATTTACGATTATCACATTTAATGCAATACCAAACAAACTACTTACTGAAATATCTTCCAGTAAACCCTTAAAGTCTAATCCGCATGTTTTGGGATCATAATACTTGTACTGTTTGACTGCAAATCCAGCTCTCCTGCAAGCCACAAGAAAATTCAACACATTAAAACTTTGCAAAATTATTATTAGCTAGGAGAATTTTAATAGCGACACACAATCTTGTGAAGTAAAAATTTATCATTAACTTTAAAGCACCTTTGAAGACTTCACTTACATTATCTTCCATTTTCAGAACATTTCTATACAGTAGAATAAACATACTGTAAATGACTGAATATTGTAAAAAATAGTTTACTAAGTTTATAATATTTTTTAAATGTATTGAAAGAATAGAAGAATGAGACAAAAATGGGACATCATGGAAAAGGTCATGAGTATATATGGAAATGAATAAAAACCCTATAACCTGAGCACTTTTGAAAGGTGGACCTTTCTTCTTCAGGCGCAAACTGGAATATAGTGATGTCAGGAAGGTCATCTGGTATTCCAGGAAATGTTTAGTTTATCTCTCAAGTACTGTTGTAAGCATCTCATTTCTGGTACAATGTAGCCAATGTCAAGAGTGTATGTGAAAAGGTGTTAGGGATATTTTACTTTAGAAATGGCTAAATATATGTATATTTGAACCTATACTTAAGTGTAAGCAAAATAAAGGCGACACCTGGAGACTGATTAAAAAAAGATATATTATGCTCGTTAGTTTATAAAAACGCATATAAAAAATTATCTTAAATAGTACGTTTTAGGAAATTCAGTGTTCATATTACATAAAAAAATAAGCAAAGAATAAAAGTTATTTTTCTGACAGAGATGAAACCAATGAACGGAGTTCAACAATTCTGAGATCTAAATTAATTCCGAAAGGTTGAACAGTGTTGAGATTAGCAATCCAATAAGCTTCTTGTATTTCTCTAACTGCTTTAGTTTTGAATCCTATTTCAATGCCGATGAGAGTAACATCATTACTGGAATGACCGGGTTGGTTAAAGTGTTGACCAACAGGGAGATCTTTTTTGGTGTTAATAGAAGATTTATGGTAGGTGAAATGTTCTCCAAGAGTTGTTTGTGTATGTCCTACATATTGGTAATTGCATTTTTTATAATGTATAAGGTAAATGGTTTTTTTGTTTTACAAGTGACATATTTGGATATTTTAAAGGTTTTTTGATTTTGGTCATCAGAAAATGAGTTGATGCTTTTTAAGAACTTGCAAGTTTCACAGTGGACTTTACTGCATGGACAACAACCGTTTTTGGGTGGGATGTAATTCATTTTTGTGTGAAAAAGGATATCTTTTTGAGTTCTGCTTTTTTGGAAGGAGACATCTGTAGGAGATGAAAATGTTTTATTAGAATTCGTGAAACGTTTCTGAGTTTAAACTGACAGGTAATAATAAGAGAAATTCTATTTGAAAGTTTAGTATTGCTCTGATTTAGGATGTTTTTCCGCAGCGTGTTGTTATCCTTTTCAATTTGTCTGGCAATTTGGTATCTTTATATCCTGTTTGTAACATAGTTTGTTTTATATCTTTGGTGTGTTTTCTGTCGTCTGTTTCATATGAGCATATTTTCTTTATTCTAAGAGCTGGACTGTAGGTAATGTTTCATTTAGAGGGGTGACAGCTTTTATAGTGAAGGTACTGTGGTCTGTCTGTAGGTTTTACTGTACAAGTCAGTGTGTAAAATTCAGTCTTTTAGAAAAACATTGACATCAAGAAAGTTAATCTGAGTAGGCGAGTAATCACAGGTAAACTTGATTGCTTTGTGAAAGGAATTTGCATGTGAGATAAATTCTTTAAGTGATTTAAGACCAGCTGTTCAAATGAAAAATATGTCGTCTATGTAACGTTTCCATGTATGAGGTTTTACAGGGCTTAGTTGTAAAAGCTTGTTTTCAATATGACCCATAAAAATGTTGGCAAAAAGTGGGAGCCATTTTGGTACCCACTGCAGTACCATTAACCTGAATGTAATACTCATTATTGAATTCAAAGTTGTTCAGAGTTAAAACCAGACTGGCAAGATCAGTTACTGTTTGAGATTACAATTGGTTAGAAAAGTTTAATTCCCACTTTGGTTTGTAGTCCATCATGTGGAATATTGATGTAAAGGGAAGAAACATCCATTGTGAAAAGAAGACTGTTGGGTGATAACTGTTCGTCAGTATTAATATCTTCTATGATGCAGTGGTGGGATTCAAATATTTTAACAACAGGTTCTCTCACTTGCAGCATGTAAAAATATTAGATATTAAAAAAAAGGAGGGGCCAGAAAGCCCCCCCCCCATCACTGAGAAAATAAAAGTAGTGTTAAAGAT